CAGTGCCGCCCCATGCGCCGCCCCAGGCGTGGCGCACATGTGTGGCACCCCCCCGTGCACAGCACGCATGTGCAATGTGCATGCGCGGCGCACATGCGCGGTGCCACCCCCTGCACTGGCTGAGGAAAAAAATGGCAGACAAAATGGCGGATCGCGTTGTTTGGCGACCCCCGTGAAATGGTTGTTCGACCCCAAATGGGGTCGCGACCCACAGGTTGAGAACCGCTGTCTTAGTTGCTTTCTTTGCACTTTTTCCGAAATCTTTTTTGTAATGTCCAAAACTGGATGTGGCATTCCACGTATGGTCTTACTAAGAATTTATAAAGCAGTACTAATACTTCACATGATTATGATTCTATGCCTCTGTTTATACAGCCAAGGATTGTATTAGCTTTTTTGGCTGCTGCTGCACACTGCTGACTCATATTTAAATGATTGTCCACTAGGACTCCAAGGTCCCTCTCACAGTTACTGTTTTTGAGCCAGGTTTCGCCTAATCTGTACTTGTACCTTTTGTTTTTCCTGCTCAGGTGTAAAACCTTTCTTTTCTCCACATTAAGTTTTATTTTGCTAGATAGGGTCCATTGTTCAAGTCTGTCAAGATATTTCTGGATCCTGAGCTTATCTTCTGGGGTGTTGTCTATTCCTGTCAGCTTAGTATCATCTGCAAATTTGATGAGCTCCCCTACTATTTCCTCATCTAAGTCATTTATGAAGATATTGAAGAGTACTGGGCCAAAGACAGAACCTTATGGTACGCCATTGCTTAGTTCCCTTCATGTAGATGTAGCACCATTAAGGACTACTCACTGAATACAGTTTGTCAGCCAGTTACAAATCCTGGTGGTGATGCTATCCCACTTTTTTCTAGCTTACCAAGTAGTAGGTTGTGATTTACTTTGTCAAATGCCTTGCTGAAGTTTAAATATACTATGTCCATAGCATTTTGCTGATCTACTAATTTAGTCACTTTGTCAAAGAAGGAAATTAGATTGGTTTGGCATGATCTGTTTTTAACAAACCTGTGCTGACTTTTAGTTATTACTTCATTCGTTTCTAGATGTTCACAGATCTGTTTTTTGATTATCTTTTCTAGTATCTTCCCAGATATTGATGTTAGGTTGATTGGTCTATAGTTTCCTGGGTCTGTTTTTTTCCCCTTTTTTGAAAATGGGAACCACATCAACTGTTTCCCAATCCTCTGGTAGTTCCACAGTGCTCCAAGATTTTTTTAAGATGTGATACAATGGTTCTGAGATGATGTCTGCCAGCTCCTTCAGAACTCTGGGATGTAATCCATCAGATCCTCGTGATTTATGTTCAAATTTGATTGTACATTGCAAGATGTACATTCTATCATCTTGAAGGCCTTGTTCCCCTCCTCCCCCAACGTACAATTGACCCAACTATGCAGAGTTTTAGGTCAGTAAGACCTGTCTTGCTCCTCAGGCCTTAGAGGTAGGATGAGTAGAGTCCCCACTTTGAGGAGTTAGAATGTATTTCACCCCCAATTATCTTTTTCTTGTTTAGTAATTTTCAACGATAAGTGCCATTTTTTATTTGTTGGTTTTAGGTTTTTACTTTCTTTTTTTATGTACCCAGAGTCACATTTTCTGAATTTGGCAGTCATTAAAATACAGTACCTTGAATCAAGGCAGAGAAATGGTTTATGGGACTCACTAAATAGCAAACTCTATTATTACAGAGCTCATTACAGGAAACTTCAAGCTTAAGTCAACAGTTTCCTTTTAATAACAAATATTCTTGGGGATATTATTTCATTTAATATGGATTGCAAAAGTACCAGTGTATGGCATATGGATGTACAACCTGCAGACATCAGGACATGCTCCAATAGAATCTGCCAGTGCTGCAGAGCCATGAATTTTGGCTCTGAGGCTGTAAGCATGATCAGTAACATTATGCAGCAGATAGAATCAAGTCAAGAGTCACTCACCCTATCCAGGGTTAAATGAGAAATGGATGGAGTAGAGAAAGAAAAAAGATTTTAAAACAATATTGCAAAGAAAATTTGATTCATAGTTGCTATTAGAAAAGAAATCTGTGCTCTGAAGAGATAAAAGTGAAGATGCATCTATCAGAGCAAGATTGCTGAGGCAAGAACTGCAGTAATTCAAGAAACAATTAGCTGTCACCCCTAAGGGGAAGCAGACTGTGAAAAGTAGTTAGTTGATGATATCATCTTTATATTATGAGTGGCTCCAGAGGAGAATTCTCACTTCTAGGGACAAAAAATGATACTGAAACCTGGAGAAGTGGTCTAATCACTGGCTATCCCAGTTGTCAGAATCAACTTGTTTTAATTTTAAACGCTGTCTGTTTCATTCAGTCTGCCATAATCAATGGCCGAGTTCACTTATTATATTAAGGTATTAGAATATAAGAACAGCCCTGTTGGATCAGTGAAAGTCCATCCCAGTTTGGCTTTTTGGCTGTATAGTAACTATGTAGATGCCTCTGGAGTGCTTGTGTAGCAGGAAATAGAGACATATTTCTCACAAAGTTATTTCCTTGCAATTATCTGGAGGCACATCACCCCCAACCCAGAGACAACAATCCAGCAGCCCATAATAGACTTGTCCAGCATGAATTTATCCAATTCTTCTTTAAAGTCATCCAAGATGGTGTCCAGCACCATATTTTGGACAGGTTAATTATGTGCTATGTGAAGAAGAGTTTGCTTGTGTCTGCACTAAATCTTCTTTCAATCAGTTTGACTGGATGACTGCTGGTCTTAATGTTTGAGAAAGGGAAAAAAACTTCTTCCTATTTATCTTCTCCATGCTGTGAATGATTTCATCCACCTCATTCATGACCTTTCTCACACATATTTTTTTCAAATTAAAGAATCACAAATATTGTAGCTAATTTCTTGCAAGGAAAATTTTCAAACTCCCCTGATAATTTTGGGTTTCTTCTGCAGCACTTTTTCCACCTATATTCTTTTTCCTTTTTCAAGCATAGTGACCTGAAATATAGACAGTTCTTCAGTTACACGCATACTGTACTATAGATTTGTATAAAGACATTACAGTGGTGACATTCTAATTTTCCACCCCTTTTAACTGAGATCTTTTGAATCAGTCACATTGTTCTGATTCATACTTACTTGAGCCCTGTTTTTCAAAGTTATATAGGTCAGGGTCTCTTTATTTCAATACCCAAAATGAAGCAAAGCACATTAATAATTTGCACTATTAAACATCCTTAAAAACCATAATGGTCATGTAGAGACATAACACTAAATTAATGTAGGAACATCCTATAGGAAGCCTTATGACACAGTCTATGCTATCATTTATCCAAACTGAGAATTATTTTTGGTATTAATTATGGCTTAATTAAACTCAGGGTTATAAATTTTTACTATAATAGTTTCTCAGTTAAACTCTGGTTAGTATTAAAACAACATTCTTGGCTTGAATGAAAAATTCTTGGACTGCAAGATGGATGGCATCCGAATTTAGTAAATAATAAATAGTTATTAATTGAAACAAAAGCTTTTGATTTTCCAGAAAAAAATAGTAAATTTTTAACCAATTTAAAATTAACTAAAGGAAGAAAGGAAATGGTAGAAACTAAGGCAGGTATCTTCAAACTTGGCCCTTTTATGACCTGTGGACTTCAACTCCCAGAATTCTTCAGCCAGGCACGCTGAGTTTGAGGTTTGAAGACCTCTGATCTAAAGTTTATGCAAATAAAACTAAACTATTGACCCATATTTTGAGATGGATTTTACAACCTGCTTTGACCTATATTCTCAAAATTAACATTTCCAAAATTTGCAAACAATAGGTATGATATTAGAATATTGGTATCAGCTTATGAATGAATTATTTTGATGAATCAGACAAAAACGTTGTCTTATTCATCAGTCTATTTCAAAGAGTGGCCAATGAATTCCCACTGAGAGTGGCTCTGGAAAGGCCATTTAATAGTGTTTCCCTACATCATGTGATACAAATATAATGTCTTTAAAGAATTATGAATTATTATGGCTGGAATCATTAAGAGTCCCATCTTCCAGTTAGTTGCCTAAAAAAATTTTACGGTTGATCAGGCTTTAAAATTTAAATTGACCTTGGATGTTTGTTATCTATTTTGGTTTGGTTTTTTTTTTGTTATTGTTCACTTGTTTTGTTTATAGAACACCCAAAAACTTAAACTGAGCGATGTTCAAGGTCTCTTATTTGGCCTAGTAGATTTGCATGGTGACCAAACTCAAAACAAGCAACCGATATTCCTTTTTGCACTTATATAAACAAATATAAGCAGCTGGCAAAAGCCAATCGGATTTTTAACTTTTAGTTCTGCATGCTGCTGTTGAATTTTTTGGAATTGTAGATCCTGATCAGCTACTGCAGATCCTTCAGATAAGTAAGCCATTACAACAACCTTAAAAGCATATAAAAGAATACCCTGTGAATTTTGCTTGCTAATGACTGTATGCATTTTATACAAAATATGTTCTTTTACTTATATTTTTTTGTAAAGGACTATCATAATGTTACTATATTACTAACTTGCTAAGTATTCCATTTTTATTATGGTTTATTATTTTTATCCCATCCATTCTCTCATCTTCATGGTTGAGCAGAGTATTTTACTCATGTCTTTCCATTTCTTCTGAACTCTGCATTCTGGCAGCTACATCACACTGGAGCCGTGGTCTACTAGCTATATTTCTTCTGCCTGTGATTCATTTAATCCACTCTGTTTCTATTACCAAGGTAAAAAAGGTGCACATTTTTCAGAATCCCACTATCAGATTTAGGAGAAAGCCCAAACTGAAGAAATTTTATAGTATCTCAATAACTTAGTATATTTTGGCATGTAATCCTAGTTGATTTTTTAGTCAAACAGTGAATCAAAATTAAATATTATGCAGTACTTAATAAAATATGCATCTTCTTATGCTTTTGGAATTTTTTATTATGCAGTACTTAATAAATAAAATATGTATCTTCTTGTGCTTTCAGGATATTTTTCCTCACCAAAATAAGAATCATCCCCAAAGGAGCTTTCTCGGGATTTGGAGAAGTGGAAAAAATGTATGTATTTTCAAATATACTCAGTATGTCTAGTTTATATATCTTCATACCTTGGTCCCTTGTATGCTTTCTCTTCCCTGACCCACAATGTATTAACTGAACCAGCCTAGAGCAACTTCATGCCTTCTAAATATGCTCGACATCAGTTCCTATTATTCCCAGCCAATATATGGAGCAGCCACTTATAAGAGTGACAATCCAATTATAAAAGCCATCAAATTGGCACAGATTGAATTAAACTGGAATACTGATGTGGATTTAGTGAATGATCTGGAGAGAGTAAAACAGAAGTAGCCTTCCAAAGCAGTGTTATCTAGCAATGAGATAGAGACACACACAAACACACATATGGGGTTTTATTATAACTCAGCTGAGCACCAAAATCAGTGACAGAATAGACATTTGCAATGTTAGTTCAAAACTAAGCAATGAGGAGTCAAAATCTTATGTAAGGCTTGGGGATAGCATCACAACATTGTGCCTGCCATCTTACAGATTGGGACATCCCTTTCTAGACACCCTTGGATTTAATGTTTGGTTGACTTTATTTGGACTCTTTTATTTAATTTAAGGCAGTTCCTAACTTAAAAGGATGCTTTGTAAATTGCTATCAGTTCCATATGTCAGTAATGATCGTAGTAGCATTTTAAGGGTGACTTGTACCAGATTAGCAGCAATTGCTGGCACCTAACTGTTTACCAAGACCACTGCTATAATCTGCAGATTTAATGACTTTACGGGAGCCCCTACTTAGATGATAATAGTTGTTCATTCATTTCCAAGTACAATAAGCCAGCCCTGCTCTTCTTTGCTCAGAAAGGGCTTCTTTCTGAGTCAAACTCTGAATCTCTGCCCCAAAGCACTAAGAACAACAGCAACTGTTATTGAGGACAACAAACTGACCTTCCTTTTATACAGTATGAGTAGAAGAATTTTCTCAAGAAGTAAGGTGGACTGGGCTTGGTTCCTTCACCCAAAACAAAATAATTATATACTTGAAGTTTTTATATCTGCTTTTTGATTTTACCAATATGCTAAGACAAAGCCAAACAAGGCAAATTACAGATCAGCCAATTCCTATTTATTCATAAATCATAATGAAGCATACTATGGCTTATCTTATCTTATCACAGAGTAGTGTACAAATCCAGCTAAACATTATAAATATTCTATATAGTAATACAAGAAATCTGTAACTAATAACCCCATTTAATGCAAATAGAACTTCTTGCAATTCAAAATATTCCTTTGGCCACAAACTGAAAGTTGCCTCTCAGTAGATAACATTAAACCCCAATTCCTGGAACAACAGCACAAATGGCAAATATGTAAATTGCAGCTTGAAGGTCATATCCATCAAGCAATTTGGTAAGAGCCCTTATTTATTATTTAATTCTGTAACAGAGAAAAAAATACCTGGACTGTCTCATGAGCTCAACTCAGCAAAGCTCAATCATCCTGTTGCGTCCTTCGCGAAATGGCAAGACACAAGAAACAGTTGTAGTTCTCAAGACTTCTTTATTCTTAGTTCAACTTACAGTTGGAAGACGCCGGCAACGCCCAAAACTCTTGCCCTCTTATATAGGCCATTCCCGGGTCAATCTGCAACTTTTGGCGCGCCAGCACTTGAGCATGTGCACAAGTACTGGCGACAGCCTGTCTGGTCCCGGGAAACTTGCACCTGTCCGGGACCGTTTGTAATGCCCCGAGCCTGCTTGCACAGGCTCAGGACATAACACCCCTTCCCCCCGGGTTAAAACTATTAACCATGCCATAGTAACACATAACCCATTGCGAGTGTAGTGCCATACTACCCAATGCCAGGTATTACTTTTGCTTCCATTAGTCTAAGTGTTCTGTTCCCTCTGTTAACTCTGTTTTGCCAATAGAGTTACAAAATCTTCTAAATACTTAGGAGATTTCCTGGCTCTCTGTGACCTCCTAACTTCTGGGTACCTGCCAAGTACCCCTTGACTGAGGGGTGATGCGTGCCTGTCCCCCATGTTTTGCCTTGGTGGTTCCCAAGGACTGTGCTCCAATGCCTGGCCTGCTTGCTTGCCCACCGGGCTCGTCAGGCCAGGGCTTCTTTCTTTGTTTAACCTGGTTGTCCTGCCTTGCTTCAGGCTCTCTGGCCCCTCTAAGTGACTGTCACCGTTGGGCGATTCTGTAGAACCTCCTAGGTCCGACCAAGACCTGTCAGGAGGTTGTCTGTCCTTTGGTTCTCGTTCTGTCCCCGGGCTTGTGGGGGTTTCAGTGCTGTCCCAAAACTCAGTTGTCTCCTGAGTGAAGTCAGGGGTGTTGTAGTCGGGATTTGGTTCCTCGACCACCTCCCTGTATGTTTGCCCCCTTCTAGGGACAGGGGTAGTGTCGGGCCAACTAGAAGGAGTGTGTCCCAGCTCTCTTGCGGGAAATGGTTTATTGGGATGCTCCCAGGTATCCTCCCTGACTGGAGTACTGTGTGATGCAGGTGAGTAGTGACTATGCCCACGGGGTGACTCCCTGGCTGGAGTAGGCGTTGATGCCTGGTATCTAGTTGGGCTCCTTGAATTCCTGTTTGGAGCACTCGCGGAATCTTGAGATGAGCCGTTTGTGGCTTCCTCATTGATAATGGGCAGCAGCCCATGCCCTTCCCCTTGCCCAAAGGGGTCCCAGGATTCTCAGAGGGAAAGTCCCGTCTAGGGCAAAGTTGGTCGATGTGTCGACGCAGGACACGACCGTTGTCCAGGGACACCTCGTAAGACAGAGGACCTGTGACCCTGGATATAGAAGCGGGGACCCATGAATGACCAGGCCCGTAATTACGAGTCCAAACCGGGGCACCCACAAGGAGTTGTCTCGGTGCCCTGGGGCGTGTGTAAGAAGAAGGCAGTCTATCCGGATGCAACCGGTCAAGCTTGGTAGTCAGTTTGCGCCCCCAACGAAGTTCAGCTGGGCTCCTCCCCGTAGAAGTGGACGGTGTAGTGCGATAAGAAAGGAGGAAGTCAGCCAACCTGTGATGCCAGTCTCCGTAGGTAATTTTCTTCAAGGCGTCCTTGGTGATGCGAACCATGCGTTCAGCCATACCGTTGGTGGACGGGTGGAAAGGTGCAGAGGTGGCATGACGAATCATGTTAGCCTGTAAGAAAGCTTGGAATTCGGAAGAAGTGAATTGAGGGCCATTGTCAGACACGATGACATCTGGAAGCCCGTGTGCAGCAAAAATCCCCCTCAGTACTTGAATAGTCTTTGCAGCGGTGGTGGAAGATACAGGTACAACCTCAAGCCATTTTGAATGGCTGTCAACTAGGACCAAGAAGAATTGACCCTGAAAGGGCCCAGCATAGTCAATGTGCACCCTAGACCATGGAGACTGTGTTTCCTCCCATCTATGTACAGGAGCTTGTGGCATTTCGGGGCGCGAGCGTTGGCAAAGGTGGCATGCGTGCACCTTAGCTTCAATGTCACTATCTAACCCAGGCCACCACAAATGGCTGCGCGCAAGCGCTTTCATGCGTACAATGCCAGGATGACCCTCGTGGAGGGAACCTAAGTCCTCATTGATGTAGGAATGACAACTCTGCTTCCCCAAAGCAGACAACCCTGGAAGGTGGACAACTCGTTCCTTTTAGATCAGAAACTCTGAAACTCAGTGCCAGGACAGCTCTCTGGCCATCCAGATAAAACCCAAGAAAGGACACGTGAAAGTGTGTGATCTGTGCCTGATTCAGCGGCTACATCTCTGGCATTCAAAGGAGACTCGGGCAAGGCCTGAATGGAGAGAAGATTGATAGCTGGAGCAGGGTCAGCTTCTATTACTGGCAGGGGTAACCTACTGAGGCCATCAGCATGGCCCATTTCCTTCCCAGGTTTATGAAGTAGGGAGAAATCATAGGCAGAAAGAAAGATAGACCATCTTAGCATTCTGGGGGAGATGATTTGGGGAGTTTGCTTACGTGTGGTAAACAGTCCCAACAAAGGCTTATGGTCAGTGAAGACCGTGAAATGCCTGCCATATAAAAAATCATGGAATTTTTTAATTCCAGCAACCACAGCTAAAGCCTCCCTGTCTATTTGAGCATAATTACGCTCAGCAGCAGACAAGGTTCTGGAGTAGTATGCAACAGGAACCTGAGTTCCATCTGCCCTGAGGTGGCTTAGTACAGCTCCTACCCCATAAGGAGAAGCATCACAAGCGATGCACACAGGAAGGGATTCATTGAAATGTGCGAGTACACTGTTAGAAGTGAGTAAGGCCTTGACCTCATTGAAACTTGCCTCATGTTTTTGTGACCGCTGCCACACTGCCTGTTTGTCTAATAGCCTGTGAAGAGGCTCAGTTACACTAACCTTATGTGGAAGAAAGGAATTGTAAAAATTCAGAAGGCCCAGGAAAGCCTGTAGTTCGGCCTTAGACTTTGGCCTGGGAGCATGCAGAATAGCTTTCAGTTTGGATTCAGCAGGGTGAATCCCAGTAGCATCAATTTTGAATCCCAAAAAATCAGTAGAAGGCACTCCAATTTTACATTTGTCCTTCTTAAGCTTGAGGCCGGTTTTCCTGAACCTTAACAGGACAGCCCTTAAGCTCTCAGCTAAATTGTTTGTAGAGTCTCCTGCAATTAAGACATCATCAAAATAGGGGCAAACCCCTGGTATACCCCATAGTGTGTTTTCCATTATGCTTTGGAAAATCCCAGGAGCGACATTTACTCCAAATTGTAGCCTCTTCACCTTGAAGGCCCCTCTGTGGGTCACAATGGTCTGCGCTACAGCAGTATCATCGTCAACAGGCAGCTGTTGATATGCCTGAGCTAGGTCAAGCTTTGCAAAAATGCACCCCCCCCTTGAGGGAGGCCAGAATATGACTGACCACAGGAACAGGATAGGCATGTTGCTGCAATGCCTTATTCAGAGTGCATTTATAATCAGCACAGATGCGAATGTCCCCATTTGCCTTGAGAGGCGTTACAATGGGGGTTTCCCAGGGACTGGAGTCAATAGGTTCTAGAACTCCTTGCTGAATC